GAAAAACATCATTGAGTAAACCATGAGAGGGTTAGATCAAGTAGAATTTATCCATCTCCCCATGCTTTTATTTTCAGGGTAATTTTCTTGAAATTAAAGAAGCTAAGCCATAAAAAGGCTATCTAAAAAGGCAATATTACAAGAATTAGAGGAGTAAATGAATGAGTTGAAACTTATTGCCAAACTCCAACACACAAATTAATCTAGTTAGGCTTTTTGGGGGATATTGACATATATTGATCTATTGAATAGATGCCTATTCTGTACATTTTAAATATGCATTTCCTAACCTCTCTCACATTTTTAGTTCAGATTTTCTCCAAGACGCTTAATATTGGAAAAATATTGACATCACAATTACACAGCCCTATACCAATGTCGATGTGGGACAAGCCCACTTTTTTCTCAGAGATAAATCTTGTTTTGAGGTGGCACTTGCATTGTGCCTTTTTTGCTCCGGGTTTTACCTTATTGACTCTTGTATTTTCCATTATATAAAATTTAGCAGGAAAAGAAATCTCGTCAGTCACATGCGTTTACTTCCTTCACTAATTATCTTTACTACTTTCTTAGTGCTTGAGAGGGAGATTTATGACCTGTCATGGGCCGAGCTGGTTTGGGCCTCAATTAAGGTCCTCACTCGGATAAAATGAGGCCGCATACTAGACCGGGATGTGAGTACGGTCGGATGTTTGGTGCGCGTTGGACTGAAGTATTAGCCCGGTCAGGTCATGGAGATGCTAGCCCGGTCTAGAGATGTGCATTTCGCAAAGTGATGGGACGTGTCCTCAGAAGACTAGGTTCGATCGAGCAGGAGCTCAGTCGTAGAGCTCGGTTGAGTCCATGCTCAGGTGAGTCCGTTTGGATCGGGCAGATAGCGTGACTCTGAGGGAAGACCGCGTCGCCGCGCTTGGCGTAGCTCAGTGAGATGTGCTACGTGGCATAATTGGATTGCAGGAAGGAGATTCCGCCGTCCGTACACGTCAATATCGTTAGGCGGTATTGACATTCGGTGTTTGGCAGTATTTGCTCTTACACGCGTGAGAGGGGAACATATCCACGCGTCACGTGGAGAGAAAACAAAGGGGAGTGCGCAAAAACTATACAAACGGTGTTGTGTCTTCATGCACAGGTCTGGAACTTCTGATTATCAGAGCTACCTACTCCCTTGTCTCTTCTTTCTCTTTCTTCCTCTCTGTGCTCTAACTTGATCGTCGGAGCGGTTTTCCGGCCGCACACCCGCCGGGTAGCTCACTGTCTTTTTGTTCTCAGGTTAAGTGACGTTACTCAAAGCTTGGACACGAGGAATATGGAGAGCGTCGAATATTTCCTCCCTGTACAGTGCTAATTCTACCTTATAGTTGCTGTCACTTTCACTATGAAGCATTAATTTTCTAGCCTTTTTTTTCCCCATTTTATTATCCTTCCTATCTAACACAATAATGGTAGGTATCATATAGGCGACCAGCCATATCCATATCTATCTATCTAAATATAATAATAAGCAACTTGTTTAGTGTCCTTGTCATAACTATTAGCAAGCTTGATCTTCATTACATTTTGGTTAAGATTTTCGCCATGTTAGAATATAAAATGAAGGAATTTAGGGTTAGGATTTGGGAGGAAGAAGAAGAAGAAAGAAAAATTTTATATATGTTGAATAATCATTATCCCTTAACTTTACATCAGCAAAATATATATACAAACCTTAACATAGCAATATGACATCGTATCCTCAACTAAAGTAAATATTAACAAGAGAACAAAATAACAAAAATAAGTATTCTAACACTCCCCCTCAAGCTGGAGCATAGAGATCGAACATACCTAGCTTGACGGATAAATGACGAAACCAAGGCCGGGCCAAAGGCTTGGTTAGAATATTACCCAATTGATCTGCAGAATGAACATAAGGAGTCACATGTTGCTTGCGGAGTAAGAGATCACGAATAGAATGGCAATCAACTTCTATATGTTTAGTGCGTTCATGAAACACGGGATTATTGGCAATGAAGATAGTAGCTTGATTGTCACAAGACATGCTCATAGGAGTGAGAACAGAAAAGTCAAAATCTCAGAGAAGAGACTGAACCCAGAGCATCTCTGAAGCAGTATGAGCCATGGCACGATGGCCCTGTTTGGTAGAGCTGTGGAAAAGTGCTTATAGCTTATGCCTTAACAGCTTATAGCTTATAACTATGAATATAAGCTGATTTCTGACTTATAAATAAAGCTTCTCCTGCCACACTCAAAGAATAAGCTAATTTCTGACTTACAAAAAGCTATAAGCTGCATTGTTAAGTTAAACCAAACACATCAAAATAGCTTAAATTAAGCTGAAAGCTGAAATAAGCTGAAAAAAAGCTGTACCAAACAGGGCCGATATTCAGCCTCGGCATTAGAACGAGCAACTACAGTCAGGTTCTTGCTACGCCAAGTAACAAGATTACCACCAACAAAAGTACAATAACCTGAGGTGGAATGTCGGTTAGTCTTATTACTAGCCCAATCAGCATCACTGAAGCTAGTGACAGACAAAAAGGATGATGGGCGATAGAGCAAACCCCGACGTGGAGCACTTTTCAAGTATTGCAAGATATGACACACAGCCACAAAATGGGATTGGCGGGGAGCATGCATAAACTGACTGACCACACCCACGGCGTATGTAATATCTAGACGAGTGATAGTGAGATATATTAACTTCCTAACCAACCAACGATAACAACCAATATCGGGAAATAAGTCCCCAATGTCACCATCAAGCTTGACACTAGAATCCATGGGAGTATCACTAGGGCGAGTGACTAAGAGGCCAGTCTCAGTAAGAAGATCAAGAACATACTTCCGTTGAGAAAGAAACAAGCCCTGAGAAGAGTGGGCAACTTCAATCTCAAGAAAATACTGAAGATGACACAAGTCTTTGGTGTGAAATTGTTGGCCCAAATATTGCTTCAAATTAGCAATACCATTGGAGTCACTCCCTGAAATGATGATGTCATCCACATAAACAATAAGAACAATACTGCTAGTAGATGAGTGGCGAACAAAAATAGAGTGATCAAAGGTGGAACGGTGAAATTCATAGGTAAGCACAACAACACTGAAGCGATCAAACTAGACACGAGGGGACTGTTTAAGACCATACAAGGCCTTCCGCAATCGACAAACAAGATGCTCTTGGCTGGGAACAACATAGCCAAGGGACTGATCCATATAGACCTTCTCTTGGAGATTACCATGAAGAAAAGCATTCTTGATATCAAATTGATATAAAGGCCAAGACTTATTAACTGCAATGGAGAGAAGAGTCCGAATAGACTTAAAGACGAGCCACATGAGAGAGTCTCCAAGTAATCTACACCATAGGTCTGTGTGTAGCCTTTAGCTACCAGGCGAGCCTTAAGTTGCTCAACAGTTCCATCAGGGAGATACTTAACAATATAAATCCAACGACAACCCACAATAGATTCGCCAGACGGCAGAGGAGTAAGTTTCCACGTCTAATTCTGATGAAGAGTATGCATTTCCTCATCCATGGCATGCTTCGGGGAATGGAAATACTAGACAAGTTACAAGAAAAAGAGTGAAGATCAGGAGAGGCAATCATAAGAAACGTAATTAGCAATAGGATGTTTACCTTTGTAGAGTGCAATAGGAAGGTCATCTGAAGGCATATCAGCAGGTGGAATAGGGACCTTAGACTAAGGAGATGAACTGGTCGGGCCATAAGACACAATGCGACGAGTTTGAGACCGTTGATAAACCTGCAAAAGAGGAGTAGAAGCGAGAGGAGAGAGAGAGGAGAGGAGTGGATGTGGAAGGAGCATAAGAGGGAAGAGTAGGAGTGAGAGAGGCTGGCTCCCCCTCATGATAAGAGAGAAGATCAGTGGATAACTGTTGCCCAAAGGAAGAAAAAAACGGAGTAGACTTAAAAAAGGTAACATCAGCACTAACAAAGTACTGTACGAACGGGTCCTTCACCCCTAAACTTGAAATTACCTCCTGAGATTTATGGTGATTTTTGTGAAATTTTTTGATCATTCCTGATGTGAGTTTTCGATTTTGAAAGGATTTCATGTTTGTTGGGACTGTTTTTCAAATCTGCTCTTGGGATTGCTTTTTGTTGTTTCTTCTTGCTGGAATCCCTACCCTAGGAGCCGAAAATACCAACCCTAGTGATCTTTGCTCTTAGTTTGTGGTTTTGCTACTGTTGGGTTGATCTTTTGTTCGATTATTGCCTCATTCTGGTCCAGCAGCACTGTTTTTTTTCATTTCTACCTATTGAAAGTTCCTATATAAGGACTGAAATCCTTCTAGCAGGGGCTATTTGTTATCTATTTATTGATTTATGCTGTTGAGTTGGTGTGTTGGTCTGATTTGGGTGTGTTCTCACTCTTGCCTATTTTTGCTGTGGACTTTTGTTTTTTGAGCTAGTTCTGTGTCTATATTGGTGATTGTTGGTGATGGTTGTTGTGGGTATTGACTGTTTGTAAGTATTTTTTCCCTTTCATGCTCTTGTGTTGAGAATTTTGTGTGATTGATCATTATGGTTGAGATTGAGGCTAAGGCTATAACTATAGGTAAGGATGATGACATGCTTAAATCTATCACTACCATGAAGAATAGATTGCTCTGATACCAAGTTAGAATGTAAAATGAAGGAGTTTAGGGTTGGGATTTAGGAGGAGGAAGAAGAAGAAAGAGAAATTTTATATTAATCATTATCCCTCAACTTTACATCAGCAAAATATATATACAAACCCCAACATAGCAATATGACCATCGTACCCTCAACTCACGTAAACATTAGCAAGAGAACAAAAGAACAAAAATAAGTATTTATTCTAACACTCCAAAATGCATAATCGTTGATGTGGGAGCCCTCACAAGGTTTAGGCTTAAAAGGCTGTGTTTTGATTTTGACTTATTGCTCTTAGCTCTACTTTGCCAAATTTTCACCTTTCCCTTGCATGCAACTTAGTGGGAAAAAAAAAACATATTGGTAGTTTTCGTCTGCTTGCATTTGCCTCACACCCTTAGATGAGTAACACAATCTCTCACATGGAGACAGAACCGGATAGAGCGAAACGGTGCACAATAACAAACACAAATTATGAGACTTAAACTAAGCAAACATAAAGGACCTGCTGAAGTGTTGCATTCAATCATTTATTATCCCAAAAGCTTAAGATGCTAGGAAATAAGTCTCTAACAAATATATGCCAAGTTATCTAACAGAAACTCTCTCTCCCTTTGAAGCATAGCCAACACAAGTCTGAATAATCCTACACAAGCACGTATAGTACAGCTCTGCTAATACAAGAAGTTCTTGATACTTTTGAGGAAAATTAAGCAAATGCAGAGCATCAAGTGCTGTTTTGATATTTTCATCATTCTGGGAGTTTTTTTCTCTGATGGCTTTCTTGTAATCACGTTTATATATATATTTTTTTTCTAGAAATTGTCTTGCTTTCGTGCTTGCTTATATGTGTGTGAAAATAAAATACTACGAACACTGACAGGGAATGCCAGACTCTACAAAGCACACTAAATAAAGGCGATAATCAACTCTGCTATACTTATTATTTAAGCACATGACAATAGCAGACCAAGTCTCCACTTGCACATTTTTAACAACAAGAACAAAAAAAAAAAAAGTGAAGAAATTATCACTCAGAAGATACACCACTTATTGTGCCTAGAAGTGCAACCATTCATGATTAGATCTATGAGAAAAGGTCAACCGCTATACTTAAGCTAAAGCCTGATCTACCCTATCCATGTGAACCTAGACATTGTAAAAATCCAACAAAAAATCAACTTTGGTATCAACTCTCTTATAGAACTACTTTAATGTCTACCATTAGTTTCTTCTAGTGAAGTGAATATCATAATGAATGAACCATCAAATGGCTTGCTGTTTTCTACTCAATATTATCATATTGTCCTCTTTTATTTTGCCTGTTCTTGCTAGTGAAGACAGAGTGAGAGCAGGCGAATCAATCAGCATTAACCAAACCTTAACTTCAGCTGGGGGAATTTTGCATTAGGCTTCTTCAATCCAGGCAATTTTACGAACAGATACCTTGGCATATGGTACAAAACAATCTCCGAACAAACAGTGATATGGGTAGCTAATAGAGACAACCTGCTTGCTAATAATTCCCACGGTGTTTTTGGGCTTGGTGATGATGGGAATCTTGTGTTTTTCGATGGAACAAAAAGAGTTGTTTGGTCATCAAATGCAACAACTGCCAATTTGGCCATGAACTCCACAATTGCAGTGCTGTTAGATTCTGGAAACTGTGCTATGGCAGAGTTTTGATCATCCAACTGATACATTCATGCCTGGCATGAGACTTGGGTTGGATAGGCAAATGCGCTGGCAAAGCCTTCTATACTCATGGACAGACAATGCAGATCCTCAGCCAGGAATGTTCTCCGAAGGTATAGATCCAGAAGGGCGTCCAGGAATTTTCATTTGGAAGCAACATGATCCATATTGGAGAAGCAGTGTGTATGACTATAGTTTGTCTTATGTAGGATATAAATCTCAAGAGTTTGCCTCCTACTTCACTTTCATTGCAGAAGGTGATGAAATTTATCTAACTTTCAGTGTCTCAGAAAACTTGATTAATATAAGAGCCATGTTAACTCCTAGAGGGCAAGCTGAGCTGCTGTTATGGGAGCAAAGTAACAATTCATGGGTATTTTTATGGCAGGTTCCATTAGTTAAATGTGATTTTTATGGGTATTGTGTTCCATTTAGTAGCTGTGGTGAAAATGGTTTGCATAAATTTTGCCGTTGTTTGGAGGGTTTTGAGCCCAAAGATCAGAAGGAATGGAAACTTGGAAATTGGACAGGAGGCTGAACCAGGAGAATGGCACGAACATGTGATATAGGAGATCCGTTTTCTAAGTTAGAAAGGATGAAATTACCTGATTATTCAATCTCTCTGGGAAATATGACTACTGTTAGTCAATGTGAATTAGAATGTAGTAAGAACTGCACTTGCGCGGCTTATGCGTATACTAATGTGAGCAGTGAAGCAGTGAGCTGTATGCATTGGTTTGGGGATATCATGGACCTAAAGGGTAATGACATCAATGGCGAAGATCTTTATGTCCGCATTCATGACTCTGATCAAGGTATGTATGATATCTTGCCCAATTTCTGTTCATACATCTATGATTGATTAATATTAATTGAGATTATTGATGTGCAGTTGGTAATGGTAAGTTGACACATAAAAGTAGAAGTGTCATTGCAATTGCAGCAGCTGCCATCTCTACTGGATTGCTTCTTATTTGCGGCTTTGGCTATGTCTTGAGGAGATGGATGAGAAGCTGAGGTATATTACATGCTTTTGCGCTTGTAGTTTCTCATGCATGGTTTTGCTTCACTGATTACTCTGAATCCAGGGAGGGTAGATCGAAGTGCACATGAGCTTGATGCCAACTCTAAAGCATCGGTTGATGATTCAAATAATGGAGAATTGTTGTCATTCAGTTTGAGAAGTATATTAGCTGCTACTGACAACTTTTCTGAAGCAAACAAACTTGGAGAGGGTGGGTATGGCCTTGTTTGTAAGATAACACATTTCCATAATTGTGACATATATTCAAGTACTGGGAGTTGTGAAAAATTCTTACATTTCATCCTTTTTCTTTTCTTTTTTAAATTCTGGGGTATTTGCCTGAAGTGCAAGAAGTAGCCATAAAAAAGCAATCAAAAACATCATTACAAGGAACAGTAAGAGTTTATGAATGAGTTGAAATTTATTGCCAAACTCCAACCTAAAAATCTTGTCAGCCTTTTGGGTTACTGTGTTGAACAAGAGGAAAAGACACTGATCTACAAGTATATGTGCAATGGAAGCCTGGACAAATTGCTATTTTGTACACACGTTTACCTCTTTTCTGAAACTTCTGATAGACAATTTCTATAAGTTTTATAGTCTCTGATTTTTAATTTCCCACCACTGATTTAGTATTGGTTTTCCATTAGATCCTTCTAAGCAAGCCAATCTGGACTGGACTAAACGCTTCCAGATCATAGAAGGGATTGCTTAAGGTCTAATCTACCTGCACAAGTATTGTAGATTGAATTCATTCACAGGGATTTAAAAGCAAGCAATATTCTGTTGGATGAAGCAATGAATCCCAAAATTTCGGACTTTGGAACTGCACGGAGTTTTGGAATAAATCAAATTGAAGCAAATACCAGGTGGGTCGTGGGCACCTAGTAAGAATAGCAGATATTCCCATTTGTATGAATTTTGAATGAGATAACCTTATTTGTACTGATGCTACCACTACTATTTCATCAACATGGTTACATGTCACCAGAATATGCGTTGTACGGTAAATTTTTTGAAAAATTAGATGTATTTAGCTTTGGAGTGTTAATGTTAGAGATCGTGAGTGGCTAGAGAAACACTAGTTTTCATCTCACCAAACTATTGCTAACCCTTTTAGGATGGTTAAGTATCCTTTGTCTCTTTGGTTATCCTCTTATGTTGGTTGTTGGTTAGTTGGATATATAAGATAATTAATTAGTTTTGAAATTTTAATTTTTGATGGCTTCGACTCTTTACTGTGTAAAGTCTTGGGAGAATTGGAAACAAGGTAGCTATTTGGAGTTCATTGATCCGTCAATAAAGGATACATGCAACTTTAAGGAGGCATTGAAGAGTATTGCTGTGAGGCTTTTGTGTGTTCAAGAATTTCCGGGTGATCGACCAACAATGTATGATGCAGTTCTCATGTTGAGCAATGAAAATGCCTCGGTTCCATCACCCAAAGAACCAGCATTTTCAAGTTGTAAGAGATCTAACACTGTCAACTATCCTTCTCAAACATCGAGTAGCTATTCCAACAATGAGGTGACAATTAGCATGCTAGAGGCTTGGTAGAAGCTCTCAATTTTTCTATTTTCATTTGAAGTATTTATGTTATGGTAGTAGTATTAACAGGTGCAGAAGCATACAGATGATGAAATTGCTGCCTACTCAGTCTCAAGTTTTATTGAATAAATCAGATTCCATCAAACTCAAGTGCCTTTTCAAAATTTTTCCACTCAAGTCTTCTTAGGTTCCAAGTGCCAATCTAAAATTTTCGCACTGAATCTTCTTAGGTGTTCCTGTGTCTTTCCTTTCAGTTATTGTGCATGATCAAGGGTAGCTGTCATAAGTCAAACATGTGTTTCGAATAATTATTGAAGCTGTCCATGCTCAACCCGGTTGAGGCCTATTCTCGACTAATCTTCTTCTACCAATAATTGGACGAGGTTTGTCATCATAATAATTTGATTAGTGGTCGATCTGCTAGCATAATCTCTTTTCTTTTTTCTTTTTTTTCGCGCCTTTAAATATGCATTGGATGAGACTGCATCAAATTTTCTTTTTAAATCTATGTTGAATTTGTGAAGGGCTTACTTTAGATGACTGAAAATTTTAATGTAGTCTTTTTTGACAGTTGAAATTGAGAATCTGAGATAGATCTTGGATGACTTCTCACAATCGTAGATTGTAGTAAATTTCAAAAAGCTTGGAATTAGCAAGTTGTTTGACATGTTGATTTGTTTTGATCTGAAGTCATCTATCTAGGATTAATAATCCAAGTTGGTTCTGAAAATTTTACCAATTTAATCTATCTGTTTTTTTGGAAAAACACTAGTTTAATTTTAATTGACTATAAAAACCAGTAACTTACTAGGAAGCCACTCACAAGCTATAGAAATCAGTTGTATTCAGCAGTTCGACCCATTCAAAGATGGAAAACATTTTTTATCATTCTGTCGACTTCAGAATCAGATCATAATTGATAAGTTCGATAGTTTTCTTTAAACCAGAAACAATTCACAAAACATATTGGTAAACTCAAAATGTGACATGTTCTGTTTTTACGTTAGTACTTTTTTCATTTCTTTCAGAACAATCGCTCTAATGTCATAATAAAATGATATAAATTTATTTATTTAAAAAAAAAATTCAAAATGGCTCATCAACAATAACAATTCCACAAGCTTATGGTAGGATAATTGCTTTACCGATTCTCGATCAATTGGATTTGCATTGAAATCTTTGGAAGACTCCAATTTTTGTTATTACGAATGGAATTTATCTTCTTTACCAAATTGTTCTTCACTCTATGACTGAATCGCAAATTTATATCTATTTATTATCTGACCAGAATGGCAAAAGCAATTTTGAATACATTCTTATGTTTTGTTTGAATCTCATTATAATCAAAATGAATGCAGAAAACTTTTAATATAAATATTACAAATTCACCCTTATCAACTTAAATTTTTTTTTAAATTTTCATCTTGTAGTTTAGATTTATTTTATATATGAATTCCACACTACACAAATTTAATCTCAACTATACATTTCTATTTAAGATAAATTCATGGTGATTAAGGTGGGTTAATATATTCCATAAAACTATACAGTAATAAATATTAGCCCTTAAAACAAAAATAACACCAAACCATTAGGCATCTAGGCTGCCAACCCATGTTCCCCAACCAATCGGACATTATTCGGCATAATCATGTGAAAAGATCTTATTCGGTATTAGGCTATTTAGCATGAGAAAATTCAACTTCTTTTTATTTTATTTTTAAAATTATCTACTAATGAGGAACCTTAAAACAAATGATCATATCTGAAAAAAGTGATGAATGAGGAACCTTTAATGTTTATATTGACAATATGAATATTTTGTGATATGAATATTTACACTGTCAAATATGAATGTTCACATCATCAAATTGCTAACAGTTCAAAAAATATTTATAAGGGTAAAATTGTCCGTAAAATATTTAAATATGAAAATTAGGATTTGATAAATTAAATTTTTAAATAATAGGATTTATTAAAATATAAAAATATATTACGGACTAATTGAGATACAATACAAGTATTTGAAAGAGAATTTCTTAATAAATTTCCCTTGATTTAAATATAAAAGAAGTTCTAACAAAATGAAAATAAACTGATTTTTTTGCAAGCCAAAATAACAAATCTATCTATATCTATTATATAAATGTGTGAGTGATTTTCCGATCACACTGCCCAACTTAGTATTCAGCTGGAGAGAATTGGCAGAATAGATGACACCTGGCTAACCGGCAACAGAAAGAGAAGATTTCGGCAGTGGTTCGTCCACCCGGGGGCACTTCGACGATCAAGTTAGTATATCTCTCAGAGATAATCAATAGTGCAAATCTCACTGTTCAGAATATAAATTGCGTACCTTAGACCCATGGGGGTGCCTCCCTTTTATAGCCAACATAATCCTAGTCCCAATAGAAACCTAGCTCTAATGGACTTAGGATTACTGTTAATCTTGGACTCCCAGTAGGATTAGGATAAACTCTCTAAGAATCTCATCTTTACCCAACTAAAGTCTTCTCTCATTCTAGGACTCTTGTCCCTTATCCGCTTATCTCGGATTCTGATATTTTCGGCGATAACCTCGGCGTCATGACCAAGACACATGGCACCTCGGCTGACACGTCGGCGTCATCTTAGCCACGTGTTGGTACTCAAAAAATATATCCCCACAACTGCCCCCTAGGTTCTATTACCTCGGCATTTTGAGGTGATGGAACCTATATCGGTACTTTCCTTCCGGTACATCGGCCTAGCCAAGATCATCATCATAGGCCGATAAGTCTTTTTCAGAGATAAAGAATTCCAAGAGCTTCTTCATGCGTATGAACTGTTATGCATAACAACTCAACCGTTTAGCCACATGTTTTCTCCTTACTGGATCGTACTCTGGACGCGCTTATAAGTCGTTTCGCACCTACATGTGCCGTCTGACACATTCGTTGTTCCAAGCGCATTAATTGCCCTCTTTTGCCGCCGTTTCAAGTTTTTGACAAAACTTGTTTCCCCCTTTCGTTTTTTTTTTTTACTTTACATTGTCTTCATTCAGAACTTTTTCTCTCTCTAGCTTCTTCTAATCCTCCATTTTTCCAAGCTCTGAAGCTCTGCCATCGTTACCGTTCACCTCTTCCGGCGTGGTTCTTGCCAATCTATTCTACCGCCGCCGTTCTTCTGACTTCAGCGATCTCAAGCATTGGCTTCTTTTCTCTGGTAAGTCACCATTCCTCCTGGTTTTCAGTTCTTGTTGTATTCCATGAAATTTTGCTTCATCATTTAGTCGCCATTGCTGTTTTACGCGAATATTTGATTTGTGAATCATGTATCTGAACATGTTTATTTCATAATTTTGCTCTTTGTCCATGTCTTGAACACTCGCACTGTTCACATGCCTGTTGGTTTCTGCTACTGTTCTTGGCCTGATACACTTGTGCAAACTTTTTGTCTTGATTTCTTGATGTCTTCATCACCACTCTTGTTTCTGAAACGGATCCCTGTTTTTCTGTTTTCCAGATTCGTTCCTTCAATCTTCATCTCTATAGCTTTAGGTTTGGGACTTGTTTGTAGAACCCACAATTTTTAGGAAAAACTGAAACGAATTCCTTCTAGATCTATACAAAACCCTTATCATAGCATATTTGTAGATTTTTAGCCGAGGTCCTTTAAACCCTTCAAAAATACTTCTTCCTGAAATCTAATATCTCCATTTAAGCCGACGTCATGGGTATGTGGGAACATAGGGTAAACACCACGGAGAAATTAGGGTACTTTAGGCAGGAGTTTGAAATCCCGGCCGACGTTCATCTGAGGTTGGCTGGGGAGGATGACTCTATCATGCCCGATGAAAACCTCATGCCTTTTCCAGTGGTTGCGTTTATTGAGTGTGGACTTAGGTTTCCACTTGACCCTTTTTTTTCCGTCAAATCCTTCATTTCTATAAGTTGAACCCAATGCAACTTGCTATCAACTCTTACTGAGTTATTAATGGTACCATAGCGTTAGCAAAACAAGAGAATGCTAGGATTACTCTTGCCGACTTCCAGTTCTGCTAT